AATATTATCTTTGGATGCCCAAGTCTCAGCTGGTTCCAGGTTGGAATCTCAACCTACTACATGAAGATAAAACATTCAGTGGGGGACCAGGTCGGTGAGGTGGTAGACACCAACAACAGGCTTCGTCATGTTACCAGGTCATGATCAAAACTTAAGAGGCCAAAGGGAAAAGAGGTTGGTAGCAGGACTAACCTGAAGGTTCAACCCAATAAAAGAGAGATGAGAAGCCCGAGATTTCCTCCCAAAATGAGCTCATGGAGATCGAGCTCATAGAAGGACCAGAAAGGTAACCAAGGTAGATCGCCATCTTCCATATGCCATTCAAACCTCTCATTGCATTACTGAGGGAGAATGTGGATATTTTCGCGTTCTTGGCAGATACCCTAACTTGGATAACCCTGGAGGTGGTAGAGAATAGGTTGAACATCGACACAACCATAAAATCGATTAAGTGGAAGCGAATGCACTTTGGTGCAGAACTGAACCTAGTGATCGAAGTTGAGGTCAAGAAACTGTTGAAGGAAGGTCACGTATGACATATACAATTCCCAGATTGGTTATCTAACTTCGTTATGGTCAAGGAGGCGAAGGCAAGTGGCGAATGTGCATCCAATTCAGATATCTAATAAGGCATGCCCTAAGGACCACTACCCATTTTCGAAGATCGATCAGCTCGTGGAATCAACGGCTAGGTGCGAGCTACTCAGAATGATGGACGCTTCTCATGGTTACCATTAAATACCCCTAGCAATTGAGGACCAAAAATGGGTAAGTTTTGCAACGTCCAGGGGTACTTTATGTTACGTGGTGATGCCCTTTGGGCTCAAGAATGCAAGAATAACCTCACAGCGGTTGGTGGACATGATGATTAAGGACTAGGTCAGCTGAAACATGGATTTCTATGTAGATGATATGCTTGTGAAGAGCATGAAGGCTGAGAACCATGTAGATGATCTGAGAGACTTTCAACGCACTACAGAGCTATGGTGTGAAACTCAATCCAGCGAAATGTAAGTTCGAGGTCAGGTCAGAAAGTTTCTGGGTTACGTGGTCACAAAGAAGAGAATCGAGATCAACGAAGAGAAGGTTAAACTGATGCTTGAGATGCAGGTGCCGAGGAGCTTAAGAGAGGTACAAGTCCTCACTGGGCTTTTGGCCGGTCTAAGCAAGTTCATAGCCCAGTCCGCAAATAAAAGCTTCCCTTTTTTTAGGCTTTGAGAAAAGGATTTCGTTTCGAGGTTTGATAGGCTTAAAAAGTTATTGGCCGAGCTGCCACACTCACGAATCCAAGGAATCCAGAAGCAGGGAACGACATTGTCTTGTTTCTAACGATAGGGAATGTGGCTATCAACTTTGTCCTATTGAAGGAAGAAGGAGGCCAAGAGAGGCATATTTATATCAATTTTTTGAAAATTTAATCTTTAATTATTAATATCACATCACTTAAAATATCATAAAAATATATTAAATATAAATAAAATAATTAAGTAAAAATTATATAAAAAAATAATCAATGGATTTAGATCAATTATTAACATCACGTTGTCTAACTAAAAATAAAAGTCTCGCATAGATGGTAAAAAAAATTACAAAAATAAAATAACAAAACTAAAGTAAAAGAATATGTAAACGAATTTCGTCATATAGTAACAAAAAACATTTTGCTGGAAAACAATACTATTTTTAGTAAATGTAAACAAAACTATTTTATAGGGATTGGTTCAAATAAAGCTAGTTCTGGTGCGAGAACCGTGAGAACCGAATTTGATACTATTTTTAATTGTGTATGGTGCTATCTTTACTGTTACATGGTGCTATCATATTCACAAATATTAATATAAATTATATTGTTATTTTTAATAAAATACACCATGGTTAAAAATAGCACTAAAATACAATCAATCATAGCACTACTTACAGTTAAAAATACCGGTTCTCACGGTTTTTACACTAAGGCTTGGTTATCATTTGAACCACATCCTATATATATATAAGGGCTTGATTATTTTTTAAATAATAACTATTTCCCTAAAAATCTATTTACTATGTCAGGAAATTAATTTAACAATTTATGGAATATTTCAAATAATTATTTATGGAAATTGCGGTTCATTATTTAAAGAAATAATTAAGTCGTAAAATGTTCATTTTTAAGAAACCTTAACTGCTTGTGTGAACTCGACTGATTTACCCAAATATGAGAACTTTCGACTGCAATATCAATTATGTTATACTGCAATATCAGTTATGTGATTTGCTAAAAAAAATTAAACTAAATTGTGTAATTTATAATGTAATAAGTATTTTATATTTTTCGTGTAATTATTTTGTGAAATGCATGTTGAGTATACCTTAATTACGCAAATTGTGCAAATCCGACTGATTTATTCAATCTGCAAATAATTACTACAATTATGGAAATATCGACAACAATAATCAATTATGCAATTTTTAAAAAACTATTCTAAAAAAATGTGTTAATGACAATATTATTTAATAAATTTTATTCATTTTTTGTGTATTTAATTACTCAGATCATGGATAATTAAGGAAATAATTAGACCATAAAAATTTACATTTTTAAGATACCCTAATTACGCATATCGTGTAAATTCAGTTGATTTATTCAGTCATAATTTTTTTAAAAGATTGATCCAAAATAATTGTGTTAATGCCAGTTTCTATACGATTATATTTCAATAACTGTATTTTAGGTCTTTGTTTTTTTATTTTTATCTATAAAAACGCGAATCTCGATTCGGTTTTGCATACTGGGCAATTCATTTTGTAGTAAAATTGAATATCACTTTTGTATTTCATCGATAAAGTACGAAATCAAATTATCTGGTACACTATATATTGATCCAATATACCAGCTTATGGTTAAAAATGGTATCTCAATATTTTTTTTTCATATTGCTAAGCATTTCACTCGATATTAATGAAAGAAAAGTCTGGAGAATACTATGGTCGATACTTATTTATAAATGTGCGTGGAACATATCAAATTATTTGGTATATATATCTATGTAAATCAATAAATCTATTTAAACTAGACAATATCATTCACGCAACTTGACAACCATAACAAAAAGAAAACTGAGATATCCAATCGTACCATAATAATCAACCAACCCATGCCATAATTGGTCAATAATAAGTAATATTTCAATAGGATTTAGTAACATCTCAATTGATCAACAATTTCTAAATTGAATTTCGTCCAAATAAAAAAAATATATATATATACAGTATTTAAATTAAATTAGAATTTTATTAACAATTAACCAAAAATATAATGGCCAAACAAAGTGAAATTTTTACAATTCAAAAATGATGTATTAAAGAAAATAAAATTTTTATATTACACAATCGTGTACTAAAGGATTTGTAAAATTTTTAAATTGATTTATTGCAGTTTTTATATACTTTTCATATCAAATATTTAAGGTATAACTAAATTATATTTTCTTTCCCTATTAACTCAGTCATTTTTCGATCATTTGTAGTCATCCTTCGTGTGATTTTGTTTTTAATATTCAAGTATCCGATATTATATTTTATTCTTTTCAAGATGAAGTGCGAATTCGGTTTGATCAAGAAAATCAATAGAACCAAGAAACTACCTATGAAGTTGGGAGCAATTTGAATAATTGAAAATAAATTTACCGTTGAATACAAATTATTTGGAAAATTTTGTTTCATGATGAGGAAGTGAGAATAAATAATTTATTTTGAATTCGTTCTTTCATTGTTTTTATTTTAAATCATTATTTTTATAATTATGTGTATTATTAAAATCATTATATACTTATTTATGTTTTCTAAATATTTACTATAGAGAGGCAATTTTACTAAAATCATAAGGGCGCTCATATCAAGAATTAGATGATTAATGTGAAAGAGGGAGAAATCTATAGAATTCAAAAGTATCAAGTGGAGGATAACTGTCGCTCATTCCGTCTTATAATTATACAATTTCCAATTGTGATCCATGGTATGACCAATTTTGTTAGGTTCAAAGGAGATTCTCCTAATTTTTGGTGAGTTCTGAAGCTTTGCTACTCTCCGTTAGGTCTTCGACAAGATTTAACAATGTTTTTTCTTAATATATTAATCTATGTATTTAATTTCGTGTACTTATTTAAGTGATCTAATTGTTGAAATTGGATCGATACCAATTAAAAATGTTGATGGTGTCCCAACACAAATGATTGTGTTTTCTCTCAATGATCGACAATAACAATTATTATTTTATTTTATATGTTTTTCTAAAAATAATTTTAATAATTTTATTTAAATGAACGTTTAGGTGGAACAAGAATGATTGCACACTATGGGGTGATTTCGTTGATCGGCTTTTGAAAATTGAAAATGAATATGGCAATGATCGTCATCCACATTTGTTCATTTTTCATCTTTGCCAAACAAAATCATTGGTTTATAATATATTTATGTTTTGTTAATTATAATATAGATGTTGTCAATTAATTTTTGTTAAACTAGTTTATGATATATTTATATTTTGTTAATTAGTATGCAGGGAGGATGACATACCTACAAGGCAAAAAATGTTGTCTACTAGAAGACTTTTAATAATATATAATATCAACTTTTTATTCTAAATATTTAATTTTTTATTCACGAATATAATAATAATGTTTAGTAAATAGCCTTAAAATTATCCACCACGTGCGAGCTCTGCACCAGTTTATATAAATATAGATATATATAGACTAATAACTATTTATATTGTTTTTCCGATTAAATTCCATAATTAATTATGTTCAATAATAACTATTTGTATTTTCGTATCTTAAGGGGCGAGAAAATGATTCAAAAACTCAAGGGTCTATGAAATCTTGCTATGAGATTGACTTTCGGAATTTGCCGCTCTAACCAATACCAAAAATTCCGAAAATTTTGTCGCGAATTATATCCGCTCAACATTTCGTCCCGTTACGAGAATTCAAAATTTTTCTCCAATTGAAGGCGTAGCCATGGCCGCTCAAGCCTGCTACGTTAACCCTGACGAGTGGGAACTAATAACTGATGATGGCTACGTCTACAAGCGCAGGAAGCGCCCGCGCCTCGACTCCGGCGGCGCCACCACCACCACCTCCTCCTCCTCCGCTCACCCGCCACCTGATCCGGCGGCGGAGAAGAAGCACCGCCGCGAACGGAAGAAGAAGGCTCTGTTGATGCTGAGGGACCAGTACTTACAGGAAATCAGTCGGTGGGAACTTTTGTCGAACACGTTAAGGCAAATGGAGCAAAAAGCCCAAACGCCGTCGCTGGAGCAGAATCAGGAGCTGGATCCCTGGACGACGTCGTTTAGCGGGGCCTCCGTCTCGGAAAACGCTGGTGCGGGTTCAGATTCAACTCGCCGGAGATTAGTTGATGATCTCCTCACTCAGGTAATAATGCTCTATGCAGTGAGAGACTAGTGACTCAATTTACCAATTCTAATTGCCGAAAATGCTCTTTTTTTTCCCTCCTTTTTTGAAGATTGATTTAACATAATGAAAAATTGATTTTTGTAGGCTGAAGCACAGGAAATCATAATTAAGGATGTTTCAAAGTTATGTGATATAGCGGAAGCATTGTGCAGTGCTGAGGAGGAAAGATTGAAACAGCAGCTTACCGATTTACCTATATGGGATCCTTCTCCACAAGACCTCATGGCTGCTTTAGGTAAACAATAGTGTCCTTGAGAAACATGTATTTGCAGAAACAAAAGAACAAGGGGAAAATGAAGTAGCAATTGGTAGAAATTGTACAATGGTCTTAGTTGTTCAATTTGTATCTAATGAGTATTCAACTGTAGTGGATGGAACTAGATTTATTAGAAAATAGGGTTGACATTGGTAGGCTTGTTCATGATTATCTAAGTATGAGAAAGGGCACTTGTTTTTTATGTCACTATTAATTAGGGTTGAAATTGGTAAGGGAGTTCATGATTATCCAAGTGTGAGAAAGGGCAATTCATACTTTAGTCTGGTGGATTCTCCTTCGTGCTCGAGTAATTTTGGAAACTATCAATATTTTTAGGTCGTTGTGGGATGGAAGGTTTCTGATATCTCAAGCGAGAGCACGGAAGAGTTTGTGTGTATTACTGGTTTTTGTTTTGTTTTTTCTTTTATTTTTTTTTCTTTTTCAATTTGTTGAGAGATGGTGAGTGATGTTCGAGTGTTTGTAGCTAGGTGTGAGCTCTTAAAGCAGCAAATTGAATTTTGTAGATAAAGTTTATTTGATGATCTTTTACCGTTTATGCTTTTGTTGCATGTGCATATAAGTATTATGTTGATCAAATTGTAACCTTTGTAATTGAACTTGATGCAGTGCTACTCTTATTGGTAGATAACCGAGAAAAAGAAAAAAGAAATGCTTCCATTTTTCCAATCATCCTGCATTTTTTACTTGCTTGAACAGAGCTGCATCTGCTTTATTCTGTGGTAGCTTATTGCCTGTTAATTTTAGCAGCATTATTGAAATGCTAGTTTCAGATTTTCCGAGTTAACAAATTGTCTGTGGCAAAATCTCCAAACCAAGGCAATTGTTTTGGAATATTGAAAGATGGATGCTAGTTAAACTTTCTAATCTTTTGTAACATGGTCGGTCTTAAAACTTAAAAGTCACACATAGAAGTTTGAGCTGGCACAAAACCTGGTATTCAAGATCATAGTATTCATGAATCATCATTTCCAATTTGGTTCCAAAAAAGATATAATCTTTTTTCTGCATCACAATTCACAAGGAAA